CGCAGTGGGCAGTGGGCCAGTGGCCAATTCTTTGCTACTTAAAATTTTAAAAGGAAAAGTCCAGAATGCCAATGATTGATGTCGTGATGGGGACAGAACGTTAAATTATTACGGGTAACTTTTAATTTGGCCCCCTTAAGTTTATGTAGTTTTCAATTTTATTTAAAATCTTTAATATATTTCAATTTGGTCCAATATGTTTTATTTTGTCTCGCTTTATGTGAATTGAAACAAAAATGAAAGATATAAAGTTTAATTAAAACAGATTAAATATTTTGAATGAGATTAAGACAATAAATAAATCTCAAAAAGACAAATTGAAATTTACTTGATTATTAAACGGGCAAGGCCAGATTTTTGTGGATTTTATCGGTTGTTATATGGTCATATTATCACTACAGGTCACCCCCTGTTAGAAATCTTCGTGATATAATTGGTAAAGTCTAAATAAATACTAATGTACTATAACTCAAATTATATTAATATTCTCTCTTCCTCAAAAAAAAAAAAAAAATATATATATATATATCTTAAGTTCAAACATCTTCTATGTAACAATAATACAAAAAAACTTATATAGGGAAACCTTTTAATGACATTAATTTGGTTTATTAGCTTAATGTATAGGTTTACTCTGCATGATGTGCTTTTTGATTTTTTTTATTAAGATTTTTTTTCAGTTTGATTGAAACTTTTTATTTTTTAAAACCTCGTTCATTCAAATTTTCTATTATAACTCCGTATACGGATTATCTAACGAGACATATTAAAATTAAAAGTAACAAATGACAAATGGACATATGTAATAATGAATCTCAACTCTCACATTCTCCTTTTGAAATAAAAATGTTTTTTATTATTAAACTTATAATTAATTTTTAAAAATAATTATGAAAATACGTCATTGCCCCTGCCCCAGTAATCAAAATCCAAATTGAAAAACCTATCTCTTCCTCTTCCTCTTTTTCTTTGTCTTTTTATTTCTCAATCAAAACGAAAGATGAATTTTTTAAAAAATAAAAATAAAATTTCATCCTCTTTTATCATTGAATGATGAAATCGGTGGCATATGTGACTCTTCATCTTCTTTTCTCATTTTTTATTGGCAATCGATGAAAATCTCTCTACTCCTGACACCTATTCACCCAAATCTAATTCAAAAATTTTTACTCAATTTCCTTATAAATCTCTTATCATTTCGTGATTAATTGAAGATTTAGAATCGACGATTGTTAATCTAAGGTTAATTGAGGTTGGATCTATGTGCATTTGTTTCAAATGTTATTTAGTGGAATTCGAAATGAAGTTTTTGCTTATAGGTGTTTGTTTTAAACTGTAATTTTGATTTTGGAGCTATGTAATCAAATGGGTTTTCGATTTTTGAACTAGAACTGTTGGTTGTTGAGAAAATTGAAGAAATTCAATACGAACTTTCCCTTTTTTTTTTTTTTTTAGTCATTGTTGAAAGAGTGGAGAGATCAAGTATTCTATATCATTTATTTGAATCTTTTGATTTAAATGCAAAATGTTTAATTTAATTGAGCTGGAAAAATTAGATATTTTAGGTTAGGATTTACATTTTTTTTTCTTTTCTTTTTTTTTTTCATTTTTCGAGAATTGAAACTTTATATTAAATATTCTGAGACTAAATTGAAATCCCAACAAATTGTATCTGCATCTACAATGATCATGAGAATTTTCGGATTCATATATTTTTAACTTGGTCTTTTTGAAGTATTACTTGGCATTCTCTTGAAGCCTGACACCTACAACAAAGACCTAAATGTTTCTGATCATAATTTGTACATATCAGCAAATGTGGTTATGCATGAGCATGGTGTGTCTTGCGGTTTTTTACATTTCAGGTCAGTCACAGCTTCTGCTTTAACATTTTAGCTTTGCATTTGATTTGAAGCTCAGATGAAACCAAAGATGATGGAGACTATTTCTCTATTCTTGGATTGAAACCTTATGCGGATAAAGATGCAATAAAAAAACATTATAGAAAATAGTTGTGTTGCTCCATCTTAATAAGAATAAAATTCTAAAAGCTGATGGAGCATTTAAACTTGAATCTAATGCATTCACAAGCTATAATGAATCTTGAGACTTCAAGACTGGTGGACATAATAATAAAAGAAAGGCTGTCTTTTGATGCACTTTTAGAATGTGTGTGAAGAAAAAAAATCCAAAGACGGTACAATAATGGGCGGGGGCAATGTCATTTTTTCCAATTATTTTTAAATAATAAATATTAGTTTAATATTTTTTTTAAAAAAAAGCTTTTGTTTGTTTTTTTGGACCAATACATTTATAGGAGTGATCATTCAATTTTTCGATTTGGTTTTGATTTCTTTTTATTTTTGATTAACCAAAATTTATTAAAAAATCAAAATCAAAATCGAACCGAATTGAGATTCAATTTTTCGATTAAATTCAATTTGATTTTTTAGTTTTTTTTTTATTATTATTTTTGGCATCTTTTCTTCTAAAAAACGAATCAATTGCTTTTAAAAAATATCAAAAAGAATTAATTCCTTTTATAATCAATTATTTTATTATTTCAATATTTGTTAATATAATTTTTATAACTTCAATATTTGTTTATGAGTCAATATAATATAATCAATTATTTTATTATTTTAATAAATAATTAATGAAAAATATTTTTATTTTAAGTAGAAAAAAATATTAAAGCTATTGGTCTTTTTATCAAATCCAGAGGTGCCTGTTTTATTATTATCTTTTTTTTAAAAGTTTGGGTGTGTGCGTGTTTAAAGAAAAAACATTAATTTGGTTTTCGATGAAAACCAAATTAAAAAAAAATCAAAATAATTTTGATTTTTGATTTAGGGTTTTTTTTTTAATTTTTTTTTAAAACCGAACAAAAATTTCTAATTCAATTCAGTTTTTTAATTTTAATCAATAATACTCAACCCTGTACGCTTGTACTTAGGATCGACTTGTACTTAGGATCGACTGTAACGTATCACGTGGGAAACAAGTTTATAAAAGCAAAATGTTTCAATAAAAATGGAAAAAGGAAAGTAAAGGCCTCAGTAAAAAAGTTCAGAAATTACACGAATCGACCTTGCTATCCAACCCTCAATGTATAGTATTTTAGCCGGAGTTATATGAGCTAGCTCACCTTACATCCAAAAACAGAATCTCCTTAATTTTTCTCATAGTCTCTCCTGTTCCCATGGCTAAATCCTCCACGGTTAAAGTTGTAGAGAACTGCAAAGTCTCTCCACCGCCCAATTCAGCTCCACCAACTACCCTTCCTCTAACTTTCTTTGACATGCCATGGCTTTTCTTCTCTCCAAGCCAACCTCTCACTTTTTATGAATATCCACACTCCACCTCTCACTTCTTATCCACCACTATCCCCAACCTCAAGCACTCACTATCCCTTGCTCTCCAACATTTCTTTCCTTTTGCTGGAAACCTTGTCTTGCCCCCAGCAGGATCCAATAAGCCCAGCATTGTTTACAATAGAGGAGATTCTGTCACATTTACCGTTGTTGAGTCTAGTGGTGATTTCAGTTACTTTACTAGTAATTATGCAAGAGATGTCAATGTGTTTTACCCTCTTGTGCCTAAACTGGCTACTACTAGTGTAGCAGGTGCCAGACGTGTAGTTCCACTGTTTGCAGTGCAGGTTACTGTTTTCCCAAATACTGGGATTTGCATTGGTCTTGCATATCATCATGTGGTTGCTGATGGAAGGACATTCAACAATTTCATCAAGGCATGGGCCTCATTATGTGCAAGTGACTGTTCTCTCTCCATCACTTCATTCCCATCTTACTATCGGTCGGTGATAAAAGATGAGCATGGGCTTGAGGAGATTTTCTTGAAGGAATTGTGGAAGAGAAAATCTTCACAGGAAATGGTTATAGGAACTGAAAAGCAAGTAGATTTGTCAACTATGGTTCGAGCCACGTTTGTGGTGAGTTTGGCAGATATGGAGAGGATCAAGAAATGGATTGTTGTTCAATGCAAGAACAAGAATCAGCCACAACCCGTTCATTTGTCTCCATATGTGTTAACTTGTGCTTTTGTTTGGGTTTGCTTAGTAAAAGCTAAAATTCAAGGGGGTGAAAGTGAAAATTACTGCTACTCTAGGCAGGATCCGATTTACTTTGGCTTTATTGCTGGTGGTATGACCAGGTTAGACTTTCCGGTACCCACCACATACTTTGGTAATTGTGTTGGGTTTGGTCGGTCCACAGCAATTAGGAATGAATTAATGGGGGAAGATGGGATTATTGTCGCCGCAAATGTGATTGGAAATACAATTAGAAGGTTGGACAAAGAAATGTTTGTTGGGGCAGAAAGTTGGATTTCAGATTGGGAGGTTTTGTTTGGGTCGGAGGTCCATGTTATTGTTTCTGGGTCACCAAAGTTGAATCTTTATGAGACGGATTTTGGGTGGGGAGGGCCCAAGAAGATAGAAGATATTTCAATTGATAAAACGAGAGCCATTTCGCTCATTGAGAGTAGGGAGGAGAAGGGTGGAATGGAGGTAGGCTTAGCCCTACCTGTTGCTCAAATGGATGCTTTCAAGCCTCTCTTTATTCAATGCCTCAATGCTCTTCAATAATGGTCCGTCCTTTGTGTTTCTGGATGCACGTCTCAAGCCTGTACTTTTTTTTTTTCACAATTAATAAAATTGTGCACCGAACGTATTTCCAAATCCTTTATGACCATATATCATTTTCTCTATTCTTCTTTTATTTTAGTGATTTTTTGCTAGATAGGACTTGTATGAATTATACTAGGGGTTAAAGGTCCTGCATAAACTTAATGACGTTCAGCTTTGAAGCGCTCTATTATCACGTGTGCGTAAACTTAACACGTGGTCCTGCACAGGTGCCTATCCCTATCATGCTTTATTTTCTTCATACGAGCAACTGAAAAGATCTTGTTTTTTTTTTTTTTTTTTGGTTTTTCCTTTTTTTGTTTTTTAAATATATCATATATTCTTTATTCAAGGCCTACCTGTTGCTCAAATGGATGCTTTCAAGCCTCTCTTTATTCAATGCCTCAATGCTCTTCAATAATGGTCCGTCCTTTGTGTTTCTGGATGCTCTTCAATAATACTTTTATTTAAGTATTATTTTAGGTGTTAATGTCACTTAACATTGACATTCGACTTACAGAAATCCACTTAAACAATTTATTGACTCGGAGTCTTATTGGCTTCCAGTATGTCTTGATGGTTGTCTCTCGTTTTTTCTTGTTTGCTTAAATTTGAACTAAACTTATTGATTTCCTACCTTGTACTTGAGAAGTCAATTTTTTCTCCTCATTTTCGTGAGAAGAGAGGAGCTTCCAGAGTAAATTATAAATTAGTCCCTCTTTCACGAAACGAATTAATTAATTCATTTGATTTTAGAAACTAATTTTCGTCATTTTTTTTATTTTTTTTTGATTTTTTGTTTTAAAAAATAAAAAATAGATAAAAATATGAAAAAAATTGATAAGAAAAAAGATATTTTTGAAAATAAAAAATAAATTAGTTTAGCTAAAAAGACTAAATAATTATTTTTTGAAATCAAAAAGATTAATTAATTCATTTCTCAAAACAAAAGAGATTGATTTATAATTTATCTATCACTATATTTAAATCTACTCGCATGAAATAAATATATTTATCACTATATTCACATCTACTGATCTATATGATATGTTTTTATATTTTAAAATAAAGATATCAATTTTTTATTTCTTATTAAGATTTTTATCAAATTAATTTTTATTTTGCTTAAATATTATTTATTGATAAACATGATCTATTGTTCTCTATGTATGGATTTTTAAATAAAATTTTACAACATGATTATTTAAAAAAAATTATATAATTTATATGATGGATTCTTAGAATTTTTAAATGATAATAGCATATATTTATTAAAAATATTTTGTAGAGAATTTGTTTTAGATTTTTTGAAAAAAATAATTTACAAAATACTTTTTTTGTTATAAATCCATGGAGTTTTAGATTTTATTTTTAGATTCTCACAAGTTTTTAGTTAAGAATCAAATAAATAAGAATAAATCATGTTTTTTTTGTAGAATTTTTTTGAAAAATACAATGACTAATTAATCAAATGCAATTTTTTAATAAAAAATAATTATTATATTTTGATGGATTCACGAGTAAAATGCAAATTTTCAAACTAAAATAATTTTACATGTGCTTTTCGATCCGTAGCATAGCATAGGTGAAAAACTAATACCGTCCGATTTCTAAAGCTACGAAGGAGCCCTTTCGAAAGGGGTAATCATTCGGTTTTTCAATTCGGTTTCAATTTTTTTTTCGATTAACTGAATTGACTAAAACAAAAATCGAAACCGAACCTAATTAATGTTCAGCTTTTCGATTAAAAAACTGAAATTTTTTATTCGGCATTTCGATTTTTGATTAAAAATCTTTTTTTTTTTTTTTAATCTCAATCCTATACTCTTACCCCTTCATAGCCTACTGTCACCAATACACCAAACATAATCCACAAATCACAAATTAATTTATTGACCAAAATTGATAGCATTTCATTTTTAAAAATTTTAAATTGGAAAATTTAATTAAAAATGAAAGTTATTGAATGAAAAAAAAAATTATCACAAATGACAAAATTATAAACAAATATGGAAATATGGAAACTCAATATTGATTTTGTTAAAATAAAGAATTAACTTATTTTTCTATTAGAATTAGACTCAGTATTAATATTTTTTAAAATAATAATGACTAAATAATTATTTTACTTTAAAATAAAACTAATTGTTTTACTGAAAGTACAAAATTAAATAATATAATAATGAACCCAAGCAAATAATATCCCAAGCATTCCTGGCTTGCTTATTCAACGAACAAAATATACCCATGCTGTTTCTTCTTCTTCTCTGGCACTTTCATAAAAAACGTTACAATTCCATTTCATTTTTGGTGTGCTTATTCAATGCCAATGCAGCAGCTGTGCACCCTACAAGTCACATCCTTTCCTTCTCATGTTTGACAAATATTTGTAAAGCATCGTTAACTTGTTGTAGCCGGAATTGGCAACCTAATTAGAGGCTGTTTGGAACTTAGGAGCTGTTTCCCAAGCTAGTTAGAGGCTGTTTGGCTTATTCGGTTTTTTATGAAAACCGAATTTAAAAAAAAAAAAGAACCAAACCAAAATAATCTCAGTTTTTAATTTTGATTTTTTTAAAAAAATTTGTTTATAAAAAATCATATCAAAATTATTAATTCGATACGATTCGGTTTGCTTTTTTAGTTTTGACCCAATAATGATGGCCCTATTTTCTGAGATGCTCACATGACGCAACCCTCCCGGCTCATAATAACAGACCCCGCTTTGAATTGTAGACCTTTTTAATATTTGACATCCTTTAAATTTTTTTCTAATATAAACTTTTAAATATAGAATGTTTAATTGGCATTTTTTATATTATTTTCAATTTACTTTTCGATTAAATTTCACACGATTTGAAAATTTTCTTATAAAATTTAAAAGATGAAAAGTTTATAAAAGATTGATAAAATTAAAAATCATTAGGCATTATACTTCCACCAATGTTATATAAAAATAAAATTTACAACATAATAAAATCATCAACTGTTTCATGATTCTTTACAAGTTTTTAGGAAAACACGTGACTTTTATATAATATTTAATCTCTAATTAATAGTAATAAGATGTTGAAACTAAATCAAGTGGATATTAGTTTTTCATTCTCGTGTCTTTAAGGATTTGATATCTTAATAGTATTCATTTCCTACTTGACATAGGATTCGTTTGCATGCTAGTTAAAATTGGTTTCTTAGTTAATGTAAGATTTTGTTTTTTGTTGGTATAGAGCTTCTATAAATGCAAGAGCTTGGTGTTTTTTAGGCAATTTTAGTGATTAAATGCAAGAGCTTGAGGTTTAGAAAAGTATATTATGTGAGTTGAGTTACAATTTTGATTTTTAAACAAATTAGTGTATGCACAATTAATGCAAGTTTTGGAAATAATAAAATAAAATAGTGTTTGGGTATTTTTAATTTTTCTATTGGCAGCGGAGCCACTTAACTAGAAGAAAGGGTTTCAATACAAAATTTGTTGATTATTCAGTGTTCAAATTTAATGGCAAAAACAATTTGGAACATTGAAAAATTAAGATGCAATCCTTTTTTTTTTTTTTTTTAAGTATATTGATGCTTGGGGATGTCATTAAGAATGAAATTTAGGAATTAGTGAATGTGCAAGAGACAAATCATATCAAGAAGAAAAAATCAAGAAGCTCGGTATCATATCTTTCAAAAGGTTGAATTATCTGTTTTTGATGAACTACTTACCGTTTTTAGTTCTATACCAACTCTCGAGCAAAGAAGATAATAAAATCGGTACCTTAACTTTATCATCAAACACAATGTTTATCGACTCCAATTGGGTATTCAACATATTAAATTTATTGATATGATTAGTTACAATCGCGCTTTTTGCCATTTTTAGATTGAACAATCGACGAATCAAAAGTACCTTTATTTAAGGCGAGATGGCTTCTCATACATATTTCATAACGTCATCGGTAAATCTATTATGATCTTTTTTTCACAATATTAAAAGCCACATTTTGTGTCAACATCGATCGAAAAACACCCAAAGCTCGGCGATCCAACAAAACCTAGTCGACCTCTTTCATCCCTTTTGGCTTCTTTCTTAGTAGAGGTTTGTGTAGCTTTTTCTAGTATATACAATCTTCAAATTTCATCTTTTGAGAATTCGAGGTCTTTTCTCGTCAAGATTATCAATCTTGACTTTTTCTTCTTCTCGCTATCGCTCTTCCTTACCCCACTAACCTAGGACTTTGATATCGGTTGTTAGGAAATGAATCAAGTAAAAGAATGCAATAGAAAGAAAAAAACAATAATACAACACAAAGATTTTACGTGATTCAATAATGGTGCTTACTCCACGTACTGTACTAGGATTTCTTATTAAGTTTTGTCAAGTGACGATTATAAATACAAGTGACGTTGCATCTATTTATAGTGTGGACAACTAGAGTTCTAAGAAAAAAAAGCCTAATGGGCCTATATATCCGACTCAATATTACGTAAACCTTTCGGAGGTTTCGGTTTTGAGCCTCCACAAAAGGCGTTGCCCATTTGATCTCATACTAGACCTATATAGTGCCTTGTACTACAAGTTCCCTTTCACATTGGTCTCCACAACTTAATAGATCATGTATGCTAAAAGTGCAAAAAAATCTTGTAATGTTTTAAATGATTCTTACAAAGGTGCTCACAAGGAAAAGAAGTTGAAGTTGCGGACTTTATGCACATAGTTTTATTTTTGAAGTTGCGGACTTTATGCACATAGTTTTATTTTTGATTTGCTGAAAGTTAAAGACATCATAGGTGAGTTTTATTCGCTCGAAGATCAAGTTGATGACATTTTCAAGAAGCCACTTAAAACTAATTTGTTCTTGAAGTTTAAAAGAAATTTGAAGAGCTTGGTTTTAGGAAAGGTGCTATTGCATTAGTCTTCAATCCTTATATCCCAAAGATTTAATCTCTTAGTAGGATTCAGTTGTTCGATCAACATAGAACTTGTTGCCAATCTTTTTATTTTAGTTAATACTAATCGTTACACGCGCTACACTCGCATGTCCGATAGAATAAAATCATTTTAAATTTTTAAATTTTTTTAATTATAATCTTTTATTTAATTAATTTTTTCTAATGTTTTTTTATAATTTTTTTGCTTAAAACAACATAAAGCATTATTCTTTATGGATTGATTTTAAAATAAAAATTTTAATAATTTTAACTAAAATATTAATCAAGAATTAAAAAAAAAAACTTTAAAAATATAATTTTCATAATATTTTATTTCAAAAAATAAAGTTATAATTAATGGACAAACTTTTACAAAAATTGTCAAATGAAAAAAAAATTCTTATTTAATGCTATGAGAAGATTAATTTTTAAAATCATCTACGCAACGCTATAAGTAGATAGAACAAAATCATTTCAAAATTTCATTAATTTTTTATTTCATTATAACTTCTTTTTTTATGTTTTTTCATAAAATTTCTACTTAAAAAACATGATTTATTCTTCTTTATTCAAGGATTCTTAAATAAAAACTTATAATAATTTAAACCTAGAATATTAATTAAGAATTAAAAAAATACTTTAAAATTTTATTTTTTTTAAGAATGTATCCAAAAAATAAAGTTACAATTAATGTATAAACTTGCATAAAAATTAACCAATGAAAAATAAAATTTTATTCTTATCTAATGTTGGTGAGAATATTTCTTTTTCAAGTATATGCATTTGATACACACACACACACACACAAACAAAATAATCAATAAAATTAGCATGAAAACTTGTATTTGAATAATTGGTTGGTTCCTTGAAAAAATTATTTTATTTCAAATAAATTAGTTCTATAATGTTAAAAAATATTCATGGTAAATAATTTGTATTGTGTTGGAAGATATATAATTAATTTTTAATATAAAAATAAGAATAAAAATTAAAATAGTGTTTTATGAGAAGATGAACGAGTAAAACTAACTGTTCAAACACCCCCTTTTCTTTTATTTATAGATAATAGTAATAAGACCTGCTATTAGTTGGTGTAGGGCTTTTTATAAATTTAGGAGTTTGGTCTTCTCTTAGGTAAGTCCGGTAGTTGAAAAACAAACACTAGTATCTCATGTGATTTAAAACAATTATATTGCGTGAGTTGAATTACGGTTTTAATTTTAAACAAATTAATGTGTGTATAGCTAATATAGATTTTTGAAAAAATAAAATAAAGTATTGTGTTGGGTTTTTTTTTCATGGATGTATAATGGAATAACGAGTATATTGTTAAAGGGCTGAAATTGAAAAAATAAAACACAATCAAATCAAACCGTGTCAATTGAAAAAATTATCTAAAAAATTATATATATATATATATATATATATATATATATATAAACTCAAGAAGACAACTAAAATTTCTTCTCCTCAAGCTAATATTCTTGGGTTAAACATTTGTCGTAGTGAGTAGAGAGGGATAGCAATTTTTCCGACTTGAAGGGCATCTCGTGTTTGTACTTGTTCCATTGGTTTGGAAACATGCAATTCAACACACGCAAGAGGAGTCGTCCATCAAGCGTGCGTAAAGAAAATGAGCTCGGCCAAACTTTTGCCCTTATCTCTCCCCGTACTTGGCTCTAACTTAGCATGCAGCAGCCAGCTCCGCCCATTTCGATAAAATAGCAAACCATCCACCGTTATAAATAGGCGCACGATTCACTCTCCCCGACCATTACCAAATATACCACCCAATCCGTGCCAAAAAAAAAAAAAATAGAGGAAAAGAGATGGCAGCGAAAGGAAGAGCATCCCACTAAAGCTTTTGGATGGGCAGCTCGAGACCAATCTGGGCTCTTCTCTCCTTTCAAATTCTCGCGAAGGTTCCTCATCTTTCTCTCTCTCAACCTTTTTTGCCCCTACTCGGTCGATCACCTTAAATCTATTAATACTTCCATTTAATTATGACTTGTGTTAAGCAAAAATTCCTCTTGCGAGGCAACAGGAGAGAAGGATGTGGTATCGAAGGTGCTCGTTTTGTGGAATATGTCACTCGGACCTTCATATGGCCAAGAATGAGTGGGGTATCTCTACCTACCCCGTGGTCCCCGGGTATGTACTCTATTATCATATAAGTATACAAGGAGAAGTTTGAATTAAAGAGCAAAGATCAAATTAATGTAAATGATAAACATCCTATTGAGTTACGAATTAATTAAGAAGTAATCTTTCCCTTTTTAACACCGATAAACGATTAAACTATACGGCTATACCCGAATCCCGGTATATTGGCAAATGATACGAGTCTTGTCCATGTACATTTGACAAATAAACTGTTAGGATGTATATTAATTAAGGTGAATCAAGCTTAATATCCTAACATGGGCGTACATCCGAACTTTGATATATATTAATTCAATTGAATCAAACTTAAAATCCTAACATTGATTTGCATCCGAACTTTACGTTGACAAAATTGGCCTTGCGAGCATGAGATTGTGGGACAAGTGACAGAGGTGGGAAGCAAAGTTGAAAAGTTCAAAGTTGGAGACAAAGTGGGGGTAGGGTTCTTGGTTGGATCATGCCACTCTTGCGATAGTTGTAGCAACGATCCGGAAAACTACTGTCTAGAAATGATACTCACCGGTGGTGGCAAGTACCATGATGGAACCACCTCATACGGTGGCTTCTCGGATATTATGGTCGCAGATGAGCACTTTGTAATTCGAATTCCGGACAACCTACCTCTTGATGCCGGTGCTCCTCTCCCGTGCGCGGGAATTAC